CAGGAGTTTCAGAGTTTAATTAAAACGCAAGGGAACACTGCAAAGGCTGCAAAAGCAAGGAGAGAGGGCTGGCAGAAAGTTGCTGACAAATTAAACTCGTAAGTAATTTAATAATAATAATAATAATAATAATAATAATAATAATAATAATGGATTGGATTTATATAGCGCTTTTCAAGGCACCCAAAGCGCTTTACAATGCCACTATTCATTCACTCTCACATTCACACACTGGTGGAGGCAGCTACAGTTGTAGCCACAGCTGCCCTGGGGCAGACTGACAGAAGCCAGGAGCTTCGGAGAACCGAATGATCCAAGATCACGCGAAATCGTCAACAATCAAATCCAGCTAACTTACTTAGCGAGGTACGAAGAACGGACCCCAGGAAACAGAATGGAAAGCAGACACGACAACGCGAACTTGACAACATAAGACATGCGACATGAAACACTTAGAGGGTGAGGGAAACTTAAATACAGGAGTAGAAAACACAAAGGGAATCTAATAAACAAATGAACTTAGCTAAACTGAAGAACTTAAACTTAAACATCTAAACATCTAAATAAACTTAAAATACTGGGTCAACAGACCCAGGAACGTGGCAAGAACATTAACCTTTCTGTCATGTAACTGTTTATTCATTACTTAACTAATTTGGTGTAGCATGAATGGCTGTGGGGGAGGTCTTTATCAGCAGGAAAAGCCCTAAAACGTATAAAAATAAAGTCCTTCATATTTTCCAAAGCTGCCCGGTGGGCCATTTGGTCTTAGAGCTGAAAGATCTTCGAGGATGAGAATGTTTTCAAGAAACTTGAAGATGTCCAGTTGCTTTTCTTTCCAAGCTCCTAAGATGATTGGACTAGAGTGAGAACAACAGAATGGAAGTGATGAAAAAAGCAGATTAGCAGCTTAAATACCCGGAAATGCAGGCAAAAGAGTGAATACTGCACTTTGTTTATTGCCCTTACATGTACTCTCTATTGTGTTAGACAGGTGACATAATACACATCCTACTTAATGCTAGACGTTGCAAAATGCAACTCTTCAGTTTCATTTTGCAACGTCTAGAGTTCCTGTGAACTCTAAACTCTACTGTGAGTGGAAATATCTTTCTAAATCCAGCCAACAAACAACAGTCATTATATCACAAATGATATGAATGAAGGCAGTCTGTGTGTGACTAAGACTTACTGGTTAATGAGTCTCCTAGCACGCCTTAAAATGGGCTCCAATCAATCCAGTCCAGGGACAAATTTAAAGGTGGGCAAGTGGGGGCCAACTGCCCCACTGCTGCCAACTTTTTTGTCCTTAAAATATTTGTAAAAACCAACTGCTTGTTTGTCCAAAAGCTTCTTATATTCTTTGTTTTCTTAGACGGGATGATACATTAAATAATTATAAGTATTTTGTCGATTCACTTTACATATAGGAGATTTCCACACACTTAACTGAAGAGATTTGTGCCACCCTGGCTAGACCTCTTGTCCCTCATTTGGCCTCCCATGTAAGATTTTCTAGATCCACCACTGGATTGCAATCACACTTTATATCTCTAATATTTACATAATTTTTTGGAATTTATCTCAATGATTTAGAAGGGAAGAGCTTAGCAAAACAGGCCACAATGAATTATGCAAACCATTTAAAGACTTAGCATTTGCACCTGCATCGCATTTAGTCCTAAGCTTTGGAAGGAAACTGTGCTTGCACCGAGAAGAGTGTTGGTGTGCCCCGTTCACTCTGCAGCTGGAAAAGTGTTGTATTCTGTTTCTCTATTAATGTATCCATACTTAGAATGAGACTTCTCCGTCTCAAGGCTCAGCCTGCCTATGAAGTGGTTAGACCGGTGGAGACCCAGCAATGTCATTCTGATGGAGAGGCACTGAGCAAAAGGGTGAAATAGCAACACATCAGAACTCATTTGAAGTACACTCAGGTAAAAGTAGCTCTCAGTGGAAGCAGCTATTTGCTTACACTGCTAAATAAAAACTCACTTAAACATTACATATGCTGCAGGAAAATTATTCTATATTGCAAAAGCTTATTAAAACTCTATAACAGGCACAGAGCGCATGAACCTGAACACATCAGCTACAGTACGTGCCGTCTCTTTGCACCTTTAAAAAAACAATTAAAGCACATGAAGAAACTGTTCTATTTATATAAGAACGGTGGGAGTTCAGTGGGCGGAGCGGCCAAAGCATGTGTTTTGTTTTATTAGAGGCACGCAGTAATTATGCAACCTGCCCACATTCATATGAGTGGCGTGACGTCTGGAGAAAGTTTGATGTCCTGTGAGGGACGCGTGGGAGGCGCTCAGGGTCATCTGGAGCCGTCCTGATGGCTTCACGTTTGCAAAAATGCAGCTTCGCCGTAAATATCGCACTGAACACCTGACTGTCCTCCTCTTTTTTAATTTTCTGAGGGATATTTAAATGAGATCCAACTTTAGCTCTGTCTCTGTGCCAGGTTGCTAAGCTACAGCCTGTGTCAGGAAGTGACAGGCGAACATAATTACGACCCTGGTTGACAGACATCGACCACAGTGTTCATTAGACATACTCAAGCATTAAGACATCAAGTCTTTTTAAAGGACAAAATCCTGACACGACCTTTTGTATCAACTAATTACCACATTATCATTTGGTGAATAAGTATTTAGACAGTTAAAGACAAAGGAGTTGGCTCTGGTTTGATGTATGGACGGAGTTTTGTGGCACCACCATCCAGAAATATTGCATTTTACTGTATTTTGTACAAATAAATATATAAAAGCGTTATAATGGGTTTACTGCCACGCTTCTCAATTTCTTAGACGTGTCCTCGTCTGAATTCATGGTCTTGATGTTTTGCTCCGTTGCTGCTAATGAGCTGATTGTGTATGTCGAGTGTTGTTTCCTTGCAGTCAGCATTGCGATGTGCTCTCGCTCTGTCTCATTCTCTCTCCATGCTGCCCTCGCTTTGACTGACAGTGATATTAGCACCTTTTCTTCTCTCTGCCTCTCTTCAGCCTTCAATCATCGCATCTCTTCCTTTGACCTCAAGAGATGCTGGCAAAATAAAGCTATTTGTAGCGGGCAACAGGCGATGTGCAGGAAAATAGATACAAATGATTTGTACTACTCAGAAATATTCACCTGATTTGGAAACAATCAAATCGTAATGTGGAAAATGGTTTTGTCAGAAAAGAATAGCTTAGGAAGCTGTTGAAGTCCTGTACCCAGGACTGAGCGTAAACGTAGAGATCGTGCTGTTGCTGTAGCAGCTCCAAAACTGTGGAACGATCTCCCTTCAGAGATTAGACAGGCTTCTTCCCTACAGGTTTTTAAATCACTCTTTACACCACGGCCTTTGACACCACGTGAGATCTTGGTTTTATTTTTAGTTTTATTTTAGTTGCTTTTAGTTGATTCTATGCTGTTTTATGTTGTTTTTTAATATAGGGCTGTTTTTATTTTTAATGTATTATGTGTGTTATTTATTTATTTTTGCTGTTTTCTGTTATTCTATTGTTTTTAACTTATTTTCTGTACAGCACTTTGGTTCTGTGCTGGGTATTTTAAAGTGCTTTAAAGTGATAGCCTCCACCGTGTTTTGTTTTTTTTGCGTCTTTTCACTAGCACCTACTCGGCTCAACTCAACTTGACTTGGTTTCAGTCATTTTTGGTCACAGCTCAGCAGCCTTTGTGTTTAAGGAAACTGACCCAAATGCAGACACTGAAGGAGACAAAAACAAGGCAAAGGCAAACAGGGGCAATGCTAACTGAAAACTAACTGGGAAAACTAAAAAACTAAGAAATCTGTGACAAGACTGAGGTAACTATGAAAAACTATGAAACAACTATAGCGACTATGGTGACTACTAGGACATGATGTGGAGGGAAAATACACAGACGACCTGACTGAATGAAAGACAGAGACTAAATATACACAGGAGTTGATCAGGGGAAGTGGAAACACATGGGGAAACAGCTGACACACAAGGGGACATAGAAACTAAACTAGAATAACACTCAACTAAATCCTAACTGATAACACCAACACAAGAAACAAAAATACAAATTCATGTTTCATGAAGGAGTCGCTCCCATGAGTGATTCAGTGATTCACTCTTTGAGAAATCAGTGCCATGCAGCCTGCTGACATCACATTTTCAGCTCTAATCAGCTCGCTTGGAACCCTGGTCCACCAGGAACAAAACAAAAGTACCTGGGTACAGGTGTAAAAGAAAACCCTAAAAACAGAGTGGAGTCGAGTAATAGTAACAGTGTGGAAAAGTGTTTAGAGAGGGTTGTAGACACTTAGTAACGTATTGCTCTCCTGACCATCTCCATACATACTAAAAACGATTTGAATAAAAAAAACTCAAATTAGGATTCATGACTCCATAAAACCTGCCGATTCAACTCAAGAGCTAGGAACAAATTATGCGTTTTTGATCATTTTTGCTATTTTTAATTATGTAGACACAAAACTGGTTCATCCCTTGAATCTTTTTTAAACTTGAATGACAAATCAAACTAATAAATAAAACAAACAAAAAAAAAAACCAAAAATCCAAAACATTCCTTTGAAAATATTCAGGTACAAGTACTGCTGTTGAGGATTTAATGCAAAACTTCAGTAATGGATTAATATAACATTGGATAAGGGGAAGAATTTGTTGGATTGGTGGTTTGCGACTAGATGAAAATAAACTGGAGTCACCTGTTGTACTTTGTTCCAGAAGAGTTAAAAATCATCTCAATCCCAAGATGTAATCAATAAATACACTAATTTACGGTGGCCCTGAGAGGCCAAACGGACTGCAACTTAAGAAAACACCAGCAATAAGAAAAACGCTGGAAAAGCACACAAAACACAACGGAAATAGGAAAAAACAGATTTTCCAAAAGCACGGACCAGTTGCAGGAACCAAAACATGGTAGGCGTGTTTTATCATGATTCATATAATACTGATGACGGATTTTAAGGCTAATAGGTAGGCTAACACACTTACCTTTCATCTTTTCTTTCCTCATAAAACCGATCGATCCTCCAATTCTTTTAAGTGTCTCCCAGCGCAATTCGTAGCATATTTTGGTTCCTGCAACTGGTCCGTCGGGTTATTGTCTCCCCAGAAACACTTCCCTTGCGCTTTTGGAAATCTGTTTTTTCCTATTTCCGTTGTGTTTTGTGTGCTTTTGCAGCGTTTTTCTGGTGTTTTCTTAAGCTGCAGTCCGTTTGGCCTCTCAGGGCCACCGTACTAATTAGCTGTATTTTGAAGTTCATTAAAAGCATAATCCCTTGATGAATAAGTAACACGATGTATATACTGAAAAAATGTTTATCTTTTAATTTGGCCAGACTGTGGGCGCAACAGTAGCATTTAAACAGACATCATTTCTTTGAATTCTTTCCGTCAATCTGGCTGTCCATCAGATTTTAACCTGTTAAATCAAAAACACTGATTTTTTCCCCCTCTCATTTCATCTTTCACACATAAATATTGAAACTTCATCTGCGCTATATAATTTGACTTCACTTCATGCAGCCAACCCACAATTTCAGCCCTGATTTTTCCGCAGGCCAAATGTGAAGCCAACTGAGTGAATTTGTTTTGCAAATATATGCAAATACGGTCTGTAATAAGGAGAATCCATCAGCTAATTTTGTCCGCTTTCTAAATTTACGAGTGCATTTATGGCTGGGGAATAGATGGGCCTACACCTGACATCTATCTCATATACACAAGAGGGTTGATGATGATTGAGTGGGGCGTCTGTGGATAGCAGAGACGCCGTGTGCATGCTTGATTATATCTGTCACCATCAGCCAGCTTTATTATCAGCATAACGCTGACATATTTACAGTGGATGTCTTACTTTAATTTGCCCAAGACAAGCCATTTTAAAATGTCAGGGATGTGTGCAAGTGTCATCCATCTCTGTTGTACCTACAGGTATTCACTTTTTTGTTCTATGTCCTGCTCAGTCATTTCTCACAAGTCCCAGAATGCCTTTTAACAATCCCAAGAGGGAGTGAGAGCAGTTAATATGACAGCACACAGTGAGATATTGTCTGTCAGCTATGAACTTTTATTTTATCCATGATAATAAATTTTTATACTTGGTCTCACTTTTAAAAAATTTTATTTATTTATTTTTGCTTAAAAATGATGAACACTGATGTATGCTATGTGTCCATATGACACAACATTGTCTGCTCATCTGTACTGATTATTACTTTATAATTTCAGTGTTAACACCTTCTGTGCTGCTCCTCAAGGAGATAATTGGTAATGAATCTATTGTGATTGCTTTATCTGATAGAACATGCTGTTTACCAAAGCGGCAGACCAGAAGGTGACAGCCTGCCAATATACAGACTGTTATATGCCTGATAATCGTCCCAGCAAAAATGCAAAGTTAATGGAGGTTTAAGTGAACGAATAATGTTAATCAGGCACAAGAATAGCAAAGTTGCCATGCAAACAGCAGCTCACATGTACGTCCACGTGAATGCAAAGCGAATGCAGCGATTACATAGTTGTTGGATGGAAAGACAGTGAGCAAAGCTGGATGCTGACCTTAAATCCAAGTCAGCATCAGTGGATTTTGCTCCAAGACATGATAAACAGAGAAGTTTTTTGAAAAAGGGTCAAACAATGCTAAACTCTCTTGATGCTTTGAAGCTAATTTGTTTTTAGCCAATCAGTATTATTGTAGATTTTATTATTGTCTGTGCAACCAGCTACCAACAGATACCGCTTTAGAGATTTGTGAATGCAAAGTAGTCATGTAGAGTCTTTATCGTCAAAATAAATGCAAACAAACAATATTGTGTTGTAAAAAAAGTTGCAGAATTTGTGCATCTTGCAAGGTACAAGTAGTTGCTATGCTACAGACACATAGAAATGACTGGAGATTGCAGCACAACCACAATGACGGAAACTATGTGAATAAATCCCTGTCTTCAAAGTGGTTGCTTTACTTTGTTGTTAGCAAAGAAATGAGATCAAGCTGACGATTAGATGCAGTTTATTTGTGGTAATACTATATTGAACTGCTATTAATTGGTAAACATTGCAAATCTATTACTGTGTGTTGCAAACCTGTCACCATTTATGTACAAGAAATTCACATTAAACAGAAGTTCACATTAGCTATAACTTTATGAATTTGAAACAGGAATTCATAAAGTCAATGACAATTAGCTTTTATAGAGGAATCTAACCAATTGATTTCCAGTTGGGAACCAGTGGAGTCAAGTCCCCTACTGCAAAAACAATCTAGTTTGCAATGTGTCTGCATTTATAAGTTAGATGCTGAAGCTCCAGCAATGCTTTATTGCTCTTCTTTCACCAGTGTATTTGACCAATAACTTATAGCTTCAAGCTCTCAAGACTTTATTTTCTTCTCTGTGCACCTTGGAAGTAGGTGCACAGAGAAGAAGTAGGTGTTTAAAAACCAGATGAAAACCTTTTTTGCTCACTGCGCATCCATTCATCCTATTTTTATTCTAGTGTGACTGAGCCATTAGCTAGCTATTAGCATAAAGGTTGAAAACGGTGTGGAAACCTTGGGTTTCACTGTAGTAAAGCTAGTAAAAAAGTAAAATTCAGTACTCTGAAATACTCTTTGTGCCCTCAGAGTGTTAACTAGTGAACATTAAAAGGGTTACAATGGCAGATGTGTGAGCCCTAAGACTTTTATTAGTGTAATGGGTGCAAAAAAGGAAAAAGAAAAACAATTCATATTTCATTTTAGTCATGAGTTTAGTCCATTTTTAGATATTCTTAACTGAGCTGAAATTTGGGTGTAAAAGCCAGGTTTAGTGTAGGCACATCACCAAATCTTTTGTATTGATGGTGTTCTGATTGTTGATAAATAATAATAGAATGAAAAACAGTAGTGGTCCTAAGATTGAACCCTAAGGCACACCTTTGGTTGCACTCGTAGAGCTAGAAGTAATAATTTCTGTCTTTACATACTGAGCTGTGCTGGACCATTTTCAAACCATTTCAAACTGTTTACTCTGCATGGGCAAGTATTTTAATATTGTATGACATGTGTGCCAAAAGCCTTTGAAAGGTCAATTTAAAAGGACTGCAAGATTTGTTTTTAAAAAATACACATGGCACAAACACATTTGTATTACACTGCTTGTTGCCTGCAAGTTGATGAGCAGCTCGACCATGAAAATTACTGGAGAGTTACAGTTTTGATGGTGTCAGCTAGAAGGAAAGCCAGGCAGTACACACACGTATGAAACCATCAGTCATATTTATTTTGCAGTGAAGGTGCTGGAACACTGCATTCTCCTTCAGTGCCACTTTCCCCTAAAATTTCACACTGTTTCTCCAAGGTTAAGTAACATCTTTGTTAACAGTTTGAGGAGAATCACTCCTCCGGATGTAAACAGCTGAGAGACAATCACTTCACAGCATAACTGCATAACCCCTCTGCTCTCTGAAGCTGACAATATCCGAAAACGCAAACAAAAACAAGCTGGATTGAAAGTGCTGGAAATCAGGGATCTCAGCACCTGTCAGAGTGCTTGCAGAGTTACTGGGTGCTGCTGAAGAACAACATCAACCCCCAGCAGATACAAACTGCACGGTTGTGTACTTCTGTGTGTCGGGGCATTGATGGTTTTGCTGATTGCCAGGTGAAAATACAAACTGAGAAACATTTTTTCATTTTACAAGAAATAACTGCCACCAATCAGAAAGATGACTCAGTAATGGCAACTTTCAAAATAACACAAAAGTTCTCCATGTTCTGAAGCGGTTCCTAGTTCAAGATTAGTGGCCATGTGTCTGTGCGGTTTGTGTGTTTGTGGTGTGGGTAGACTTTCTTGTACTGTAATTATCCTGTCAGATGGAGCAAACCTGATATTAATCCTAACAGGCTAGGGCTGGAAAAACGAGAACAGGGAAAAACACGGAGCAGAAATCCAAACATACAGTCATGTGAAAAGTATACAAGTATACATACACATCATAACAAAAGCTAAACTAATTTCCCCGTGTGGGACAGTAAAGAGTTTGAATTGAAATTGAATTGAATTGAAAAATCATCTGGGCTCTAGTAGGTCTTAGAGTTAGGTAAATACATGAACAACATATGAGACATTTAAAAACAATAACTTGGAGTAATGGTTTGACTTTATCAGTGTCTCACATAACTGTGGAGGAACTTTGGCCCACTGTTTTTCACAGCGTTACTTTAGTTCATGAAATGTTTGCGGGCTCCTAAGGTCCTACCACAACTTTTGGATTTGGACGCCACCTTGATTCTTTTCTTTTTCAGCCATTCTGTTGTAGATTTGCTGTTGTACTCAGGATCATTGTCCTGTTGCATGAGCCAAATTCAGGAAAGCTTTAGGTCAGGGGTGGGAAACTCCAGGCCTCAAGGGCTGGTGTCCTGTAGGTTTTAGATCTCACCCTGGGTCAACACACCTGAATCAAATGATTAGTTCATTACCAGGCCTCTAGTGAACTTCAAGACATGTTGAGGAGGTAATTTAGCCATTTAGATCAGCTGTGTTGGATCAAGGATACATCTAGAACCTGCAGGACACTGGCCCTTGAGACCTGGAGTTCCCCCACCCCTGCTTTAGGTGTTGCACAGATTGAGCAGACTTGACTAGAATATGCTAATATAGTAAGGAGTTTTTGGTCAAGTAAATGCCTGCAAAGTGCCCAGGTCCTTTGGCCGCAGAACAAGCCCCAATCATTACCCCTCCACCACCGTGATTGACAGTTGGTGTGAGACATTTATGCAGACATGCTGTGTTTGGCTTTCACCAAACACGGTGCTGTGCAATATGGCAAAACATCTCCACTTTGGTCTAATCTGTTCAAAGGACAGTGTTTCAGAAGTATTGTGGTTAGTCAGATGCAACATAACAAATCTATTTAAATATGCCAAGTGTTGGAGAGATCCTAATTTGAAGAGGCAGACTGTTCCAAACTTTAGGCGCAGCAATCCCAAAGCCCCGGTCTCCTCTGTGTTCTAGTCTGCTTCTAGGAACAATCAGAATCAGCTGACCTAAGAGTTCTAACATTAGTGTAACATACAGAGGATTTGTCACAATAAAGGTGATTCTAATTCTCTTGTGTTTTTTGCAATTTCTCTGAGCATTGCTGGCCGGCAAAACTTCTACTTGTATAGAGGTGGTCACACTTGCTGATGATCAGCTAATCACCTGCATTTGATTGGGATTGGTAGCATCTGGCTGAATTCCTATAGAAGCGCTTTTAGTTTTTTCACCCACTACTTCTGCATTCAGTATATCTTTTACTAAATGAACGGTCTATTAAGGGATGTTGTTGTTAACGTGAGGCTGTATTTACCTGAATTTAAGAGCTGCCGAGGACTACGTTATTTTTTTAAATAATACTTTGATATGTAAAACCTCTGAACAGAGAGAAGGCATGCTTTCTTTTCCATAATTGTGGGGTAAAAGGAGAAAATTTTTTTACTTTTAACCTTTGACTGGCTCAGAGGGGAAAAAAACAACTCACAAAATGTCGTTTAATATGAATATTTATTTAAAAATCAATAGTTCAATACAGAAATAGTCATCTGTTATATGTATTATCAGACAGTCAGTACTTCAACCATGCTTTCTCTGATTAATCACGGTCTCAAAAAAGTACAAGAAATTTTTTTCCATTATTGAGCTTGTGCAAAGAAAACACACTAGAAAGCAATAGAAACACTGACACAAAGTAGATAACGATCAGTTCCTTTGAACAGTTCATTTTCCAGAAGAAGGCATCGCACAATTCCAAAAAGATCAGTCAAAGATTTAAGGCCATTTTGTACAGTTAATTTTCATATAGATTCGTATATTTCAAAACACTCAGTTTTCAACAAAAGGAACTGGTGCATCCTTTGTAAAACTGTACATGCAAACATAGTGCACATTATTAAGAAGATATGACGAGCATACGATACATTATTTGGATATCTTTAGTAAACAAAGATCTTACGTGTGTTAACACCTCACATGATCTAATAAAACACGCTTAGAAAAGGCGCCTCACAGGCACTCGCGCACACACACACAAACACACGCTCACGTTCGCGCAGTATACATCAAATGTGTTCACACATATACACACTTGTGGCTTCATGAGGCTTGTCAAAGTTAGTGAGCCGTGTAAAACTGTATGGAAGCTGAGAAAGGTCTGAAAATATGATCCTTACTTACATATTATTCCAAAGTAAGAAACTAAAAAGTAGTAGTGCTTAATTTGAAATATTGGAATTTGAATGGATCGAATTTGGGTTTAATTAGTTTTCTGTTTTTTCAAAGTCTAGCAAGAAAATTTCAAGTTTTCCAATTTCCAGAGCTTCAAATTCAATTTTACATTCAAGTGTCTGTGTTTCAAACCTGGTTTGATTTTAAAAAGTTGAAAGTTTCTATCCTGAATTTCACTAAACCAGGTCCAGCAACTTTTTGTTGGGTTTTGTTGTTTGTTCATCAGTAAACAAACAACGAGAAAAATGGCCTAAAATCCTAAAATCAGAGAGAAAAAAAACAAGTTTAACTATAAATGAGGAATTTAAATGACACAATTACCTGATTTTCACAACATTTTAGATTATGGTGACAACATCAAGTATTTAAATCAGCTCATAATTGACAATTTAGCCCTGATTAGCTGGTCTTCTCATGAAATTTGGTGAAATTAAAATTAGGGAACAGATGTATTTTCCAACCTGGAAAGTTTTTAATGATGAACGTGTGACTACAAGAGGTAGTTTGTTGTTCAAATAGCATGGGTTTAAATCTGGGCAGCCAACTGAAATTGGGATTAAAGCCAAGCTGTTGTTGTAGTCTGCAAACAATTCAAGTTGTAGTTTACATCCATGTGTGTCCAGACTCGTATTATGTACAGCCTGTAGCATATCTGCAAGGAATCAAACAGGTGGGCAACTTCTATTAGGATCATCAAATCAGTATCTGACTCATCATCTCCCTGTTTGGCACTGAATAATGGTCAAAAGTGTTTTTGCTAGAAAACATTTTGACACTTTGGATATAAAAAATTATAATTTATTCCCATTACACAACATTTGTTGTTGGTGGTATTTTTTAAGTATGAATTATATGGTCAAAATTGTATTCACAGGTCACAGTGTGTTTGACCTTTAACCATGCAGTTCCACCTTAAGTCCAAGCGGATGTTTGTGTGGAATTTAAAGAAGCAATATTGGGTTTTTTTAAATTGCTTGGTCCACAGCTGTCACCAGAGACAAGGCAAAACAAAGAAAGGAAAAAAAGAATGGAAATATATAAATGACCTGTTGAAAAGGTTTATTCACATTTGCCTCTCTATCACTCTTCTAGGTTAGATTTTTAAACCGTAGTGTTTCAACTACTGATGAAAAGCTGTATTTATAGGCAGTCCTGGTATTTGCAAAGAGTGTTTCTTGCTCTAGTAGTTCAGGGAACTTCTCTGTTTTTCAGCAACCGGCTATAGCAAACTAATTCTATCTGCTCCAACAGCTTAGTCTGGGATTTTGCAATGTCTCATGCTGTGATGACCTTGAGGTCCACCTAGGGTTTGATCAGGTGCTAACTATGTCTCTGTTTGCTCTGCAGGGACTGAATAGGTGACATAGAGCGAGCATAGAGGTGCCCTGTCTAGGCAATGAGCTCTTAATGTTGAATTATTATGCTTATTTATGCTTTCAACTGAGCAGTTGGCCACAAGAAGCCTAAACCAGCACACACACATTCATTTGATAAATTCAGCGAAATTGAGTTTCTGCTACGGTGACAATACATGGGAGAAGACTGTAAAAAAGAAAGAGAAATGTGAGAATGCAATAAGAAATGCAGCAATGTACACACCAGTCTCACAGCAAAATGTAAAATTGTCACAAAAAATAGTTTGTTCATGTTCCTAGACACAAACTATTGTCTTTTGTTTCGTTTTTTTTTTTTTTTTTTTGAGTGATAAACTGTATGAATTATGTAACTCTTTTGTGCCTGCAGCACCTGTGGTTCAGACTCGTTTGCCTTTTAAAATTGGTAAATGAAAATTATTTTGTATATATGTCACTGGATACAAAAATAATATTGTGAAAAGTCCTGTTGGGGAACATGAAACAACCGTAAAATTAGTATCCAGAAACACAAATCAAAAGAATTTGTGACTATTTCTCAAAATACCGTGAGGCTGCGGTGCAATGTAAAGTATTCCAAAGTATGTAAAAAATTCCAGTTACAATTTTTTATTTATTTATTTTTTAGTGTTGCTTTCGGGGTTACTCCTTTTTACAAGGAGATGGAGATAGCACATGAATATTAAAATGTTGCATTCCCACTTAATTTAAATATTGTATCTACTGTTGTTTTAAAAGGTTATTTCAATCGACATCCATATCTCAATCCAAATTTCCGCATTCACACACACTTGTGACAAAAATAGAAGACTTTAAATTGGAAACTTGTCGAAACGGTGAATACAACTCGCATGCGTCATCCTCGTTCATATGATTAGCACATATAAATACACATCGTAAAAACAAAGCTGTATCAAAGCTAAAGGTGTAATAAAAATGCACTCAAGTACAAACACACTACACCCACGCAAAGAAAAAATATAGGGAAAATGTGTTTTTCTCTGCATTTTTGACCACTGGGCTCTTTTTGCTCAAACAGTATTTTGTTTGAGAGCAGCTGCTATTGTTTTACACATTGGGCAGGAATATGTGACAACACAATGAGACAAAACCCCTGGGCACATGCGCATCCTACTGCCAAGGCAGTTTGTAGCGGCAAGACAGACACAGAGAGACAGGGTAGCCATGTTTCCATTCAACTCTCAAGTAGTACTACATAAACAGCCAAAAAGCTCTTCATTGAGCTCGGATGGAGGATTAAAGTAAAATATAATAGGGTCAAAAAATGTAAAAACCGAATATGTAACTAATATTAGCCACATTTTAATTTTTTGTTGACTTCACAGTCATGCTAACAGGATCATTCTTTTAAAATGCTAACATTAAGGCTGCTAGCATGTTCACAACGATAATGCTAGCATGCTAATGGCTAGCAATTAAACTATTTGCGATGCTCACCGCCTTGGCGTGTAAGCATATTAACAGTCACTAATTTGTGGTAAATATAATTTGTTTTTAATGATACTTTTTTCTTTTTCTTGTGACTGTATAACAACGTTACACATTAATATGGGAGTTTTCAACCTTTATCAACGACGTGTGCTAGCTAACCAACTGTGCTGTTCCTTGAGTATTTAGCTTACATTTCTTTAGGATGAACAGAGAGTCTAGGTTTTTTAAATAATTTCCAGTCAAGTTAAATCCTGTATGAAGGTCATTATAGTACTTGAACAAAAAAAATAAATAAATAAAAAATAACTAAATAAAACCCTTCTTATTTCTGATTAGCATAAAATTCTGACTTTTTCAATTAAACTAGCTAAAAAAGAAGGCTGGATGGAAAGACAGCTAAAAGTGACAAATGTAGAAAAGAAAGGATTGAGAGAGATGGAAAGATAAGGCTGAAGAAGACAGACGAATGAAGATACTGGCAGACAGACACTCATCCCCCACAGACAGACAGATGGATAAAAGAGGTAGTGCAGGGCCACTATATGCATGCAGTTGACTGAGGCTACACTCATGCAAAAGTTTAATACAAACACTAGAATACAGTACGGTACAGTACAGCACAGTACAGTACGGTACAGAAGGGCTACCAGGACCTGCACTGCTGCTACCTGGCATGGATGCCAGGAGAGAGAAAGAAAGAAAGAGAGTATTACAAGCTTCATATTGAAACTATATAAAAGTATCAACAGTAAAAATCCTCGTTAGCATTTACTGTAAACAATGAGTGATTTGGAGAGAAAGAGAAAGAAAGAAGTTATATATGTCCAGTTATTTACAAGTGAAATTACTGCTCATTTAAGATCATGTAACTCCTTCATTTGTCTGGAGACATTCTCTTTAAAAAGTAAGATCAGCCATTTTATACTGCTTTTCCTTTTTTCTTATTTCTGCCACAATTTGAATTGAGACTCTCTGAACTTTCTCCAAAATCTTTCCAAGCATAAAATAAGCAGGTAAAAAAAAAAAATCAAAACAATGACAGGAATGCTTGACAGTGGAAGTAAACAGACTCTCATCTTCTTTTCCTGCCCTCAAAAGCGTCACTCTCCTGGCCCGGCATGCAGCTTTCTGAACACATGAAAGACCACTGTGATCCACAACCACAAGGCATGGAGAGCGGCTTTAAGGAAATGGAAGTATTTCGCGTGACAAGTTCAGCGAACCCCTGACTCCAAAACCTTTTCCAGCCTTGCTCCTCAGATCTGGGTTTGGATGGGTTGCCCAGGTGGTGTGTATGGAGGCGGCGCCGGTGAAGGCTTTATCCCACGGGTCCGCATGTAGGAGAGGAACTGGTCTGGAATCTCAGCCAAGACATCTTTGGCGAGCCGGGCCATGCTTAGGATGTGGTTCCCCGTACGATCGATGTAGTCCCTGAACGGGACAAACTGAAAGGTAAGAGGAGGAAACAGATGTTGAGACAGGAGTTGGTTTGAAGAACAATGCGAAATCAATCATATATAGGTTTTATAGGCACTGCAGGCTTGTCAGGCAATTTCCTCTTGCATAATTCTGCGCGTCATAGCCATCAACTCTTAGCTAGCTAGCCAGCCAGCTAAGTCAGCATCATAGGCAGTGTAAAAGGTGAACAAATTTTGAAGCTTTGCCATTAGACCTTTAAAAATATTACAGTTATCGTTAACCAAGCAGAGCTGATTATTTCCTTATTGATTGTTGGTCCTGTTGTAATTGAATGTCACCCTACCAAATAAATGACTACTATCTGCTTTCCATGTGGTTTTACTGTATTTGATGTTGTTCTGCACTGAAACTGACCAGTTAGTCACGTGACCAGAGCTCAAACATCTGTCTGTCGCTTCTAAGACTTTCTGAAGAAAAGCAGTCATAGAAAGTTCTGTCTTGATGAACAAAAATTGGACTTTTGTCATTTCAGGCAATAAAACAGCTCAAAGCTAGAAAGCTTTTACCGAAGACGCTGCTTTAAAAATAACTTTATGGAAGTAGGACCGGCCAACTGATAGGACTTATAGAGGTGAAGATATCGGTGAAATGTGTGGGAAGACAGTTGGGTTTGGTAAAGAGGGGGAAAATGAGAGAAGTCACAGAGAGGATAGACGGCAATAAGGAAGAAAAGCGCAGATGGAGAAGAGACTGGGTGAAAGGAAGAGAAAGGGGGGTGAGAAAGAAGGAGGGTGAAATATGGTGAGGTGGGGTGGAGGGGGGAGCAGTGGGAAGAGCCACACAAACGAACGAAGAAAATGAAGAAGTTGAATTAAGTAATTCATCTTCTTTTTGTTACAAGTGGGAGATGTACTTGTGAACTGCAAGATTATTTTTGTAAAAGTACAGCTGTACAGCTCACCAGGCTAGCAGCTGCCTGTGAGAAGAATCTAGCCTAATTAAGACGCTGCAGAATCGCCCGGGCGGCTGAAACTCTGGCGTGTAGCTGTGCGGCGATCGGGCTACAGCAAATTGTAAAGGTTTCGCCTCAACTGGGGTAAAGAAAAGTCAGAATCTGTAACATCACCTAGCTGAGCAGAACATGTAGAAAGATGAAATGTGCATATTTTCATCCAATTTTTCATTTTTCTCCTGAGACTTTTGGTAATAGAGTCTCCTGACACGGTTTGGGGCTGCTGGAGTGAGAAATTGAGCAGTTGGAAGCTTTGAGATAAGGCGAAAATACAAGCCAGCAGCTACATAACAAGCACCAGTTAGCTCTAGGAAAAGTCAGGGATTAATGGGATCAAATATTAGGCTGCATAATTTATAGTGGTGCTGAAAGCATACGTGTATCCTAAAACACCAGTCACCGTATGATCACTGAAGTTATTTCACTTTGCTGATATAAATCTTGTAAATCTCTCTCATAATGTCCCTCCAATGGAAGACAAAGTCACTTTTTATATTTACTTAATGAGATGTTGTCACCTGCAATCACAAGATCACAAATGGAGACAATTTGTGCTGGAAACACTTGCTGCAGAAGTTAAGCTTCACCATGACACTTGGGGTTATTAGCTTTCTGATAATGAGATCCTGCAGGCTGAGCTGGTGTAATGTTCCCGTACAGAAACGTAGTTTTTCACTGCCACCAGGTCTTTTTCTGCATGGAGCGCTTGTATATGTGTGTGCTTGAGCTTGTTAAAAAAAAAAACCTAACTAATGAGCGTGGCTCTGAGGGAGGGTGCGAGAAATAAGACTATGACGGCGGCGGCATAAAGGTCACGGAGGAGGAAAACGTGACTTCTCCGTGTTGCAATCAAACAAGTGGTTTGCTGTGAATGTTCGTTTTCTTCTACTTCTTTTATTTCGGTGCTAAGATTAAAGCTGCTTTGGGATTACCTGCAACCGTGAAGTGATCCCCTGCAGCAACACAAACAGGAATACAAAGAAAAGGGAAGGCAACGAACGCCTGGCTGAACTGGATGATTGAAGGGATGGGTGAACTAATACTGCATGAAGTACGACTGTGACTTTATACATTAAAGGCACGTCTATGTGGCTGCTTTGCTAACCTAAATGACCTTTTAAGAATAAAGAACTTAAGCACACAGGTAGCGCTGTTGTGGCTATGCCGAAGCCACATGGGGAAAATTCTGATCTTTCTGCGCTGCACAGGTCCATCTTACATGGCTGCCTGCAGACCCCACAATGCCCTAGGCTTTTTAAAATGGGCATTAAGCCAGGGGTTAGAGCTGAGGTTCACTGTTCATTCACTTTAATGAGGAAGTGAGACTGAGTAAAAGATGGAGGGGATGGCGATTTGGCTCTTCACTGTTACTGGGGAGCCTGCCATTATCTTTCTGTGCGTGTGTGTGTGTGTGTGTGTGTGTGTGTGTGTGTGTGTGTGTGTGTGTCTGGGGTATGAGCAGACAGAACCACCACATGGTTGGTTCTGTCTGCTCATACCTCCCAGGCCCAATAAAAATGCATAGGCCCTGAGTTTGGCTGGAACTGGAATTTTGTTGGGAATGTGCATTGCTAAAGCATCAGCTGATAGGGGTCTTCAGGTGGGTCCCACTTAATTAGCTAATTTGAGCACTTGATTTGTCAGGTGTAAATGAAGCACCTCGTAGCACAGGTATTGTTTCAGCACACACAGTTTGTACAGTTAAATCCATAACTTGTTTTGGATTTAACTGTCCTGTCTTCCTTCTCTCACCCCAACTGGTCGCAGCAGATGGCCCCGCCCCTCCCTGAGCCTGGTTCTAGCGGAGGTTTCTTCCTGTTAAAAGGGAGTTTTTCCTTCCCACTGTCGCCAAAGTGCTTGCTCACAGGGGTCATATGATTGTTGGGTTGTTCTCTGTATGTATTATTGTAGGCTCTACCTTACAATATAAAGCGCCTTGATGCAACTGTTGTTGTGATTGGCGCTGTATAAATAAAATTGAATTGAATTGTCTCGTGGGCAGTGCTGCTCCATGAGGATGGGGCTGGCTCACACCAATTTGACTCAACTCCACTTTCCAATTAATATTCACAGGCTCTATTTACAAACAATCATTTGGCATGCAATCCCAGTGAGGGGACACCCGTATGACCTCCATTTAATACCCTTAAGACGTCTGTATACTCACTTTAAATATATTGTCACAGCAAAGCCGTCAGAACACAGAATGGACCGAAAACGCAGACCCAAGACAGTGACACAGGTTAGTGTAATGAGGATGAGTAACGATTTAAGAGACTGAAGGCAGACCTCACCTGAACAATGTCCCTCTCGGCGTATCTTCCTCTAGAAGAGATTCTGACTTCATCACCGTCTAATTCAACCATGGCTGTAAAGATTAAAGACAAAACTAAGCTGGCAGCAGTTTTTCCTACAAAAAAAATCTAATCAAATAAAGGTTTGTTATTTTAACCCACATGTTTCAACATCTTGTTGACTTACCATCAAATTCTGCAGGCCCTACTCCCACAATGATAATTGACATCGGCAGGCAGGAGGCCTAAACGAGAGCGAGAGGAAGAACAATTAATATTTCAAAACATTCAAAGCTGTGAAAATCTTTACTTGAGTGTAACGCCATGCATGTTCACCCGTGTTGGACACTGTGGAGGTTTTTCTTTAGTAAACAAATCATGTCACATTCATGTCTCGCAGAACACATACAATATGTGTGATCATGTGTGTTTTCCACCCCCGGAGCGCTGCGTGGGTTGAGCCATCACTGTAATTAATATTAGACATGAGACACTCAACTCGCTGACAGCTAACAAATGACATGTGTTTGTGTTGTACGTGGGCGCATTCGTTCAAGTGTCACAGAGTGTGTATGCAGTCCATCGGTGTGTGAGTGTGTTCAGTGAGTAATGTTATGACCTCAGGCTGCAGAAAGATAGATGATGTTATCGAAACATCTCGCTTATTTTTTGCTCCCAGTGGTAGAGGTCCTCAGGTTTCTAATTCTGCTCCGCTCACCCCCCCCCTCATATCTCGCATATATCTTCCCCCTTTTTTTTACCCAAGCCTTCTATTTCTCCCGTCGAACCATCAAACCCCCTGTCCTTTGTTGTTTTCACAGGCCCTGAGATGGATCACTGGTTTCAGAAACATGGCTTCCGTTCACTGTTCATTTTGTTTGCATTCTGGGCGACTCTGGACTTGACAGTGATGGAGAGGATGGTGCGAAGGTTAACCACATGCTGGCAAAAGCAGCACAGCAAACACACATTATAACAGAAGGAACCGCTGCCAGTCATGGATGTCGTATCAAATGCGAAATTCTATTTTTTATTAAATTCCCTCAACTGTGCACAGTTCACATGCGCTTTCACCCCTCTGCTCATTTGCACACAGTTTTGTCTTGACTGTAAATGTTTACAATCCAGAGTATTTATTTATGTTTAAGATTTGGTCCTAACTTTTCCCACCACAACACCGCATGTAACCAGCACAACAACAGAAAACTGTGACTGCTACCCGTGCACTATAGTGCACTAACCCTGATGTGTGAAAAGCACACTGTGACTTGCTGTACATGCTAACCCAGTATAAAAGGAGGATGTAGCCATGGCGATGTCACCCGCTGGGTTAGGCCTCTACACTTTGAAGCTTCAAAATGAGCCACCACACAGTTCTTATTGATGGTTTTTTGAAGTTACTATATTTGGACAAAAGGGCTGAATTATCTTGGTTTGCAAGCTGTCTCCACAAAGTGTACAGACATGCATTGCTCAGTAATAGTCTAATAGTATATTAGAATTTCTCTCAACCGAAGCACAAACCACACAGCTATAACATTAATCAGATAATCCATTAAAAATGCCCCAACAGGCATAAACACAGTAGAGAGGTCTACTTCAGTGAGTGAAATTAATAGAGGGAAACTAATAAACACATATCAGAGCCAGCTCCCTGTGTTGGGAAACCTGTCAATTAAAACAGCCATGCTCCCAATCCAATTATCCAGGTGGATGAGCTTTAAAGAAATCATCCCACTCAGAATTCTAGAAATGAAGAAACTATCCACAGAGGCCAAAACTTATTCTTGTATGAGGCTATAATTATGCTTTTTAATGCTATAAAGTTGGCCGTTTTAACATGAGAGTCCATGAATACGGACTCGAGAGGATCTGCAGTTTTTGCCACTTCTGCATTTTCCCCTGTTCTAACCCTCAATGATCAAAACTTCAGATGATACAGTAATCATCGAGCACAAAGCAATTTTCATCTATTTAGGGATGGGAACATCATCAGTGCTAACAAACTATCTAGAAGTGTGAGATTTAGATTGTTGCACCTTTAGCTAATCAGGTTGTGTTTTGATGTTTGATGGTTGTAGTGTTGTGGTGTTGTAAATATATGCGAAATGGGGCAGCTAGCATGATGGTCACGGTCATTTCTCTTTGCATTCGCCTCCATGGTGATTCGTTGCTTCTTTAGCATAAAGTACTGCTTCGTAAAGTTTAATTAAGGGATGAATTGCTTCCTTCCTTGTTTGTCGTTCATGTTTTCATTATTTCCTCATTCCTTCAGCCAGTTTTTGGTTTTGAGTGGCATTGGCTTTATTTACCATTATTATAATTAAACTTTTGCAACTAATATTTCTTCAAAGGGTGAACTTTCTGAGAGGTGCAGGCTCAGGTGTTCACAGCTGCTCTGCACGTCCTTACATTGACAATAGATTCCTTGGTCTGGGCCATGTCTGAGATGACCCCGTCTGTGATGATGAGGAGCACAAAGTACTGGGAGCCATCCTTCACAGATGCTGCGTATCTGTACAAAAACACACAAAGAAACAATTTGTGGTTATTTCTGATCTCCTTACATGTTTTTGTTACAAATACAGCTCATTACTTGAGTAGATTATGCATCACACTGTGTAGTTTAATTACATGTAAAGCATTTAGTGGCTTTATTTAATAAAGAGCAGAAACAGATCTGTGAAAACAGGGTGGTATTGATGCTCTGGATAACAGGATAATCTGTCAAACACATCTTTATGTCGGTTTCACAGATTCTTGTCTTATTAAGAATTTTAGCCACTCTGTTACCAAGTGTGTCCTTTCACTCCTGTCTGAGTCGTGACCTGATATTATTCCAACTGCTTCAGTTTCTTTCAAGCATCACCTTTCTGTGCAGCAAGCTACGTCTCCATCTCCTAATAACTTCCACTATAGACCATCACAACACTGTAGATAGAAGGATGAAATATAGCAAAACAAGTCGAGTCAGAGACAGCGAGAGACCAAGGAAGACAAAGTCGATAATTACTAAGCTGTATGGGGGAGTGGAGTAAGAGATAGCAGAAATGATAAATGGGGGCTGTGCTATCAAAAAAAGAGATGCAGAGGCTGGACGGGACTTAAAAGAACTGCAAGCCTAAAGTTGATAAATAAGTCTTACAGTTGCAAAAAGATGTTACGTGTCCCCATAACAACTAGAGTTTAAAGTTTTTAATGAGGTTATGAGGAGGAATTTATGCAATGTGTTCTGATTAGTTACGTTCTTATCTCACACAGCTGAACCAGGTCTGAGAGTTAAAACTTTTAGAGCAAAAACAGAGTTAATGATCTGCAGTCTGGCTCGGGGGAGGATAGAAGTTTATGAAAAATGCAGCCTTGTTTACGTCTCTGAGAAACGCTTAACATATTTATGTTTAAAGACTTGGTGATAGATTTCATATATATATATATATATATGCTGCAAGCATACATGCTGCAGTTTTGATTGTGTTTGTCATTTGAACTGAGGAGAAGAATATTTCAGGCACAGAACAAAAGCAGCAAAGTGAACAGCTTCACTTTGTTTAAAGAACTGGCCTGGCTCTGAGTCAGGGGTAACAGAGCTGTGCTGTTTCTTATTGTTACTATTCAATTCAGTTAAATTTTATTTATATCGCTCCAAATCACAACAACAGTCACCTCAAAGCCCTTCATCTTGTGAGGAAAAGATCCTACAAGAAATACAGAGAAAACCCCAACAAACTCCCCTTTCACCCGCTGGGCCCATGTCCTCATTTGAGGTTTGACAGCGGTTTAGTAGATAAAGGTGAAAGGCTTGGACATGAATTGAGCTGCGGTTTGGGGACTGGCAGTGGCTCACGGGCCTGGCAGATCCCCATAGTTTACCCATAGTACTACATAGAAGTGAAGAAGTGAAAGAATTGAAAAGGGGAGGGAGGGTGGGGCACGTAAACGAGAACAAACAGCTTGTAGGACTTGGGGAACCTACATAGATGAGAACCGGAAGGAGCGTGTTTGGAGGTGTGGTCCTGCTCCTAAAATTCAGATACTTTATCTCCAATTAACAAGAAGAAACCAGCAGAACAGGTTCATGGAGGGACACAAGACACAAAACATGCTGTGGAAATGCAGAGTGGTGTCTAAAAATAGAGCAAGTGAAAATTCCAGCGTAATTACGGGAGGATTTAGGGTCACCTGATCCAGCTCTAACTATAAGCTTTATCAAAAAGGAAAGTTTTAAGCCTAATCTTAACCTCTTAAGCCCCAATGCTCCAGATACAGGGGCATTGTCTGTCCCTGTGTGTTGGCCCTGCGACAGACTGGCGACCTGTCCTGAGCTGTGTGCGTGTTTGAGGTTGCTCATGCCTTGGTGGAGAGGACGGTCTTTGAATCATTTAACATGTCTGACTTGTTCTCTTTTGCTTCGTGACCAGCTTCTAGACTTTGGTGTGCTGCTCTTCCTCTTGATGGTAAAGGCGGTTTGTCTGTTTCCTTTAGTTTAATCAATAATAAATACCTTTTGATTTAATGCCAACTTTGCCACCTTGTCTCCTTTGGACACTTTTTTACTTCCCAACAACCACTGAATATTTTATGTGACACATGGATGTATAACCTGTGACCAGCTGCATCTCCGTGTGGTTCAGCAATTGCAGAGTCGGCAACCTCCGCCAGCTACAGCGGATTGTTAAAGCAGCTGCCAAGATCATCGGAACATCTCTCCCTCTGCTACGGGACTTCTTCCACAAGTGCTGCATCAGTAAGGCCTCCTGGATCGTGCTTGACCCCTCACATGGACTTTTTTCTCTCCTTCCAATATTCAGATGCTATCGCAGCATCGAGGCCCGATCCTCCAGACTGTAAGATAGCTTTTTCCCCACAAGCCACCGGACTCTTGAACTCACTACAGGCTCTCCCACTCCCCCCAACAAACACACCCACACAAACTGTTAACTAACTGCCTCTATTGCACTCCACATACCACTGCCTTTGTAACCCAGATGCTGCTCTATGGACAATCCTGCTCTCAAGAATCCTGCTCATGGTCACTTTAAATCACTTCAACCTGTAAATTGTAAACTGTTATTGATCCTTTTACCTTAGTCTTATCTGTGTGTGTGTGTGTGTGTGTGTGTGTGTGTATGTGTGTGTGTGTGTCTGTGTGTGTGTGTGTGTGTGTGTGTGTGTGTATGTCTTTTGCACTGAATGGAAATGAACTGAACTGCCTCTATATTCTGTACTATATATATAGCAGAGATGACAATAAAGTTTACTTTGACTTTGATAACACACACCACAACCTGGTGACAGGCAGTGCTTTTGGGCTAATTACGGAGTTTTCCTGCTGTACTTGGGCACTCAAAACACTTTATACAACATGCCTCATGTAACCTTACAGGCACCTTTTTCTAACATTCACACATCAGAGAGCAACTTGGGGTTCAGTATGTTGCCCAAGGATACAAAGGGATGCAGATTGGAGCGCCAATGATCTAACCGTCATGGCTTTATGCTAAGCTAAGCTAATAAGTTGCTGTTGCTCAAAGGGACTGACCAATGGGTTGGAAAGGGCTCAAATACTACATAACCAGTAATCAAAAATGTGCAAAATACTGAACTCATTACAAGCTGGTTAGGCATCTGTGTTATGCTCTATTTGTATGTGTAAGTACACGATTAAGATGTGAGTAAATTATCTCCTAGATATGAAAAGCAACCTGACGAGAGACCTCGCTATAATTACATACTTGCATGAACAGATTCTTAATGTATTTTTCTTTTGGAAGTCTTTTTCTTGATTGTCCGCCTGCTCGTCTTCCCCCGCAGCATAAATTACGTTCTCATCGGTATACAGACACAAACAAACACGCAATCATCCGTCAGGCACCTTCTCTGTTTGTGTCCCGAGGTTTTTCTCCTGCACTCTAACTCTTCTTAGCTACATTACAAACATCTGCTTCAGAGAGCTCATTACAGAAAATCCAAGAACACACGTTGAGTGTCGGAGTGAAATGTACTCTCCGTTCTTTCACGCGTACTCAAATGATACGAAGTTCATTTTAAAGGAAGTGATGACAATTACGACAGCGTAAAACAGCGTGCTCAGCGTACAGAAAAGCAAAAACCGAGAGATGTAAATCAGACACTTAAAATCACTGGTGTACGTGTGTTACCTGGCCACATGGTTGATAACAGGAGAGAAGTTAGTGGGGCCGTAAAGCTGAACAGACTTAAGAGTCTGGTAGTAGGCTTCCATTACACCATCAATCCCTGCACAATATGGGTTCTGAGGGTTCCCGTTCTGCAGAGGAAAGAAGAAGAGGGGATTACCTTCCATGATTGATTTGAGATGCATTCAGCAGGGCCACAGGAAGAGGGAAAGCAAGTGAATCATTTATGTACTCTCTCACTGGATGTTTGGGGAAATCCCATCCGTTTGGCAACAACAACCATGCCACAAGTAATTAAAATCACCTTTCTTCCTCATTCTGATGCTCACTTTGAACTTCAACAGGCTGCTTATTAGGGATGGGTATCGTTTAGGTTTTATCAGTGCAGCTGAATCTTGCATCTTTTTGAAAGAGCGTAAACACAAAACATTATTTTATTTTATAAGCTGGAATATGCAGAAAATAGGTTTAAATGTTAAACAAATTTCTTCACGTCAGAGACAGTTTCATATAATAAATTTTTGCTTGATGCATAAAGTTAAAAGATTACAAGTTTTTAAAAGATACCTTTTTCTTTTGATTAAATTTTATATGACGGATTATGCATAAAAATAGAATTTGGCTGAAAGGTCTATTGCTTTACTCAGGTTGTGTATCATGTTTTTAAAAAGTAACTAAGTAAGAAAGTAACTAATTACTTTGAAAATAAGTAATCAGTAAAGTAACAGGATTACTTTCTTGGAGAAGTAATCAGTAATTGGTAACCAATTACTTTTTTCAAGTAACTTGACCAGCACTGGTCAGGACAGTTTATCCAGTTTATATCGAGGAACCTTTAAGACAGCAGGATTTACTCTGAGACTGCTGGTTGCAACAACTTTCATTGTCAACAACACCATATATACATGTTCGATATTGCTTTTGACATTTTGGCTGGTTGTATGAAAAACATTAGAACGGATGGTTCAAAGGTCACAGTAAATAAATGCAACCATCAAAGGCTAGAATGACCCTCGAGTTATTCAAATGTAAAGCATAACTCACAACTTTTCCGTGTGACTGGGAACATTTGAGACTCTCGTAAATGAAGACATTTTTTTGTGTTTTTGTTGACAGGAGCTGCATTAAATTCCACAATGTAAAAGAACTGACATTAAAACCTGAGCCTGTCAATTAGCTGGAAAACTCCTCAACTGCTGTGTTACAAATATGCAAATCTCCATAGTACCCGTCAAGCGTGTGAATACGTAACACACCACTAAGCAGCAAATGGACCCGGAGATTAAAGAGCATCCACGGTTGTTTACCAGTACAGTGTTGTCGACCACGTTAGAATAATGCAGGCAAGCCACGAATCTACCTTTCAGCTTTGTGAAGTGAAAACAGTTCAGTGTGAATACAAATGAATAGAATAAATTTAAAAGTGTTTATGTAATTGTTTTAGGGAAATAGTAATTTTCCTCTCGTTCCCTCTCTTGCGCTCTCCAACACTAATCATAGGTCACCTATTATAAATGACTCTCCATTGACTGCAAATGGCTGCTAATTGCAGGGTACAAGTCTCAGTCCTGTACTTACCAAAGCAAACTCATGGGACACCCGTCCATCGGGTGGCAGTTTGGCTCCAAAGCCAAGTGCAGGGAACATCTTATCACTGTCGTAGTCCTGAATTATCTCTCCGACTGCCTTCAGAGCCATGGCGTAGGCATTCAACTGGTAGGGGCTCATGTAGTGGAGTGAGGTGGGCTGGGCTGGGTTACCTGTTGTGGACAGAGACAGAATCTTCAAAATCACAAGTAAGTTAAGTCCAAATTCGGAGATTTCCTTCCAGCAAGCACATAAAACAGACCGGGCCATCATGGATTGTCAGAAGCTGCAGGAACCATGATCACTGCTAGAATAGCTGCCTGAAGTTGTAAATGTTGTTTTACCACTTCTTGATTTTTCGCACATCTTTGTCACAGAGAGCTCGTCCAAAAGTAACCATCCAATAAATCTCTAGTGGTTCATGATGTGTAAATTTGTAGAAAAACACTTGAGTCATGATAGCTTCAGCGATGGAGTTAAATTAGCTGCTAATTACCTTACAGCGGCGAGAATGTGTTGCTTATTTTTTTTGTTTTATCTATCCGTATGCGACTTTTTATATCGCTACGTGGGTTGTTTTTAATAAACTGCGGTGGCTATTGAGGGTTTTGTAATTGGCTGACAAGATCAAGCGCACCTCAGCCTCTAACACATTTATTACAACTACAGTTGAAGAGTTTTTATTTCATTTAATAGGACAGGCTGAACAGCCTCAATCGTCCACCTACTACTGAGCTCAAGGGTAGATTGATAACACAGCCCTTTAATCACGGCCATCATAGCACGTTACCGCCAGGTGTGATGGAGAGGGCTATTAGGAAACACTTGATTCTCCCATCTGCATATATTTGAATAAATGCTCTCCAGGCATTCAGGGCACTCTGTGTGTCTAAATGTGTGTTTATGAGAAGACTCACCATTGGAAGCTGTGAAGTCGATGGCCACGGTGAAGTTAATCTGGGTCCTTGTAAGACAAAAACACAGAGATAGAGATGGTTTAAAAACGTCTGACCAGATTATGGCACTGGATCACCAGAGCTCCCATAATTCAGAGGCTTCGAATTCCCTCATACTGGCACTCAAGCAAGTAGCTGTGATATTTCAGTGAACGGTCGGAAAGCTGCGGATGACCAAAAAACATTAGGATTCATGCTTTAGAGATCATGAATGTCGCTGGATTAGTCTTGCGAACAACTGGGAAGTTGTTATCTAAGAGAATGCGGAAGCAGTGAAGATGGAGGAAGACTGAACAAGACCAGGAAAAATAACACACCACGGCACCCGGGATGAGAAAGTGGCACATCTCGCTTCATCAAAACATTTTTAACTTGTGAACCTGCAGGAACAGGATGTGGTTAAGAGCTCTGTAGGCCCACTACAGGTTTTTTCAACAGCAATCCTCACCTCGCTGCCGCACACACAAACACAAAAGCCTCTTTGTCTACCTTACACACGTCTTAAACACCCAGCAGCTCATCATCTTTGGCGCTACACAGGGGGGTGCAGAAGAAGAGTGAGCGAGCGACGAAAAGTTCATGACACATTTAATGATCAGCCCACACGGCAGGGGGGCTCTGACATGTGTACAAACAAATTCTATTAGTGAAAAATTACCAAAGTTTTTCCACTTTGGGCTTAAAAACTACATGGAAAAGCAAGTTCGCTCTGATTTTTCTATGAAGGGAAAAAGATCAGTCGCTGCCAGTCAGCTTTTATTAATTAGACTGTGTAGGTGGAGCTGATTGAAATCATAGCGTCTTTGTGTGCTGTGATATATGTCGTTATACTTTCTAATGCTTAGTGTCACCCTGCTAGCACGAAAGATCGAAATGATGGTAAATCCGTCATTTGCTTACCTGCTTCATACTTCTTTGCTGTGAGCCTATCATGATGACTTTAACTCTGTTTTTCAAGAAGCATTCAACTTTTTAAGGACTGTTTCTTACTGTATACATGAATCCCCAATATTAGCTTATCACAGATATATCAGTACAAAATGTACAAATTGTCTAACATAAAGATTTACAGAATGAAATCAATATTTGGAGCAATGTAGAAACTATGTAGTAAAATAGTCCAGCAAAGTAGCTGCAAATCACTTGTAGCTGAGTAGTATAACAAGATGAGGTGGTTTACTCAAGTGCCTTCACTGTATATTGATAACTAGTTTTTGACCTGTTATATTTATACTATATTTAACCAAAATTAGTAGCAATATCAAGGAAAAAGTGCCTTTTTTCTGATGCAAGTACAGGAGGGCCTTGCCTCCTAAAGGCAAAGCACCAGACCACCAGCTTAAATTATGTTTTCTCTCTTTACTGCTCACCTTATTTCACTCTGCGTCATAAAAATCTGACAGAGGAAGTCAAATTTTGTCCCAGTAAACAGGCAACCGGTAATAATAAATAACAAAAAGGGAATGGCAGAAAAGGAGGAATGCAATTCCCAGTTTAACACATCTCGGTGAAACATTAGTGCAAGAAAACAGCAATGCCATTGTTGCATCAGATGAGTCAGAACTATGATGTGCAATTTTAAAGCTGCCAAGAAAATAACAAACAAAAGCAGGGACAACATCAGAAGCTCCAAAATGGGGAATATTGGCTGAGTCCTTTTCAGAAGTGAGTTGCAATTGTTGAGTCACTCTCATTGATTAGCATTATCAAACCTCCACAGTTTGACTGGGAATATTTTGGGCTGCAAAATCTACAGTTAATAGCAGGATACAAATGACGTCAGAGTTTCTGAGATTTAAGCGGAAATTGTGCTTCATGCTCAGCATCTATTAACCAGACACAAATCCGAGCAAGACTACGGTTTAACTGGCTTTTGATGATATTTCTGGATTGCAGTCTAAAGGTATAAATCTAAATGTGAAGACATGAAGGTTGTTAGGCAACATGCTGGTTTCCATGGTATATTTCTTGGTCTAGACTTACATTCTGTCTGTCTGTCAGTCGACACATAAATAGTTTTAAACACACACACTTCATTAATAGTCCCTTTTTCTTTATGCCAAAAATCAGCAAACAGCAACTGCAATAAATAAATGATATAACTAGTAGAATATTTCCAACTGCAGTTATCAGCCATTTTTGCACTGAAGGCAAGCAAATGGAGATGTGCAGCAGAGCACTGCTGCAGAACAGGTTGAAAAACAAGATTTTCTGGCAGTCGTGATAAGGGATTTTCACAGGCAGTGGTCTTCACCACAACATCACATCTCTGAGTTTCAGTACAGGGAGAAGAGCTGTGAGCTTAGCCTGTCTTATAAACTAAACCTTATCATTCACACTTCCCTGAACCTTTTCAAGGCTGTTAGCAGCTTTATCAAGTCATTATTTATTTATTTTTATTGGGCAGTCTACATGCCCACCTCTTGTCAGATTCCCCCAAAACTTCAGCAGACGTCTTACTTTTGGGTTTACTTGCTAAAGCATGACTCTAAATAACTGAAAACAGAACAAAGATCCCCTATTATATTCAGGGATAGTGCTTTGTTGTTGTTGTTTTTGTCTCAGTCAATGCATTATTTAATATTAATGACATGTACACAGCTACGCACAGCAGATGGACAGTACAGTATGAACAAATACACCTGACAAACATCTGGGAATATTCATTCAGCAGTATTGGCACAGCAGTGGGTTGTGGGTCTTACCCATCCACAGTAGAAAAAAATATAAAAATAAGATACAATGCATTATTTTAAAATAAAGGAATTTTCCATATTCAAGTCTTAAGCATGTTTTTTTTGTAGTGACTGAAAATTACAAAAACATTTTCTGTTTTTTCAATGTATAGTTTTGTTTAATTTTTAATGTAACAGGTCAAATCACTAAAACCCTTTGTTTATCATCCTGTGACAACATGTAGCAAACTTTCGAGGACCCCAACAATGTGTTTCTCGCAACGGTTTCTTCTTTCGACGCGATGTTCTGTTAGAGTTCAACAAGTAATAACTACGGCTATAAGATATGTAGTATGTCAGCAGCATTCGGGGTAAAGGAGGAATGCCTCTTGTACTGTATATATACAACATTATACAGTACATAACACACACACCAACTCCAAACAATAATAATTTAGAACCTTTAAGGGCGAAAACACAGTCCTGCCAAGGGTGTCAAACTATGTCCTTGATCCACTCATGGTAGCAACACGGCAGGAAATACAGGAGTGTGGTTGCAAAGGCTGAGATGGATTTAGAAGTCTGACACTAGCAAACAAAAGTGAAACAATACTGAGATGTACGCAGTAATGCACGCTTACTCATTGCAGATTCAGCACAGACTGCAGCCAGCAGCTCTGCAAACCACGCTTAAATTCTGGCAGCTACGAGGCTAAAAGCCACCAACGCTCATTAGCGTTTCTTTTTAAAACCCAGAAAAACTTACAAAGTTGAGGAAAGTCATACAGTTACTGGAACTTTTTTTATCTAAAAGTGAGAATGTTCCAACATTTTAAAAAAATGTCCACAGAAAGACTACTTTCCTGTAATACCCAAATGCCAGTGGGAACCATGTATGCATGAGTGCACTGAGTGGCCTAAAAACAGCATCAGAGGTTGTGTGATGTGACTTCTCCTGATGATATGCAAACAGATGTTGCTGGTTGGACAGTATCCATCTGGCTAGAGGAGAGGAAAAGAGGTAAAGCGAGTGAGACGAGAACAGAGATAAACAACCCATACTTGCATTAAATCTGTTAAATTAGCCAAACACAGCTATTGGCAAGCACATTGGACTTGTTCATCTGCAAGGTGCATCGCCCAAAAGTCAAATGTTGGCATCCCTTTCAAGGGTTTTTAATACCAATCTTTGTCTTGATGTCTGCTCCTCTACCTAATGATAACCTCTCAAGCAGAGCCCCCTCCTGCTTCTATTCTGGTTTCAATGCGCAACTCACAAACCAAAACAAGGGGAAACAATATCTGTCACTATGAGTGACAGGGCTGCTTTCAAAGACACAACTCAAAATGAAAGATACAGCCAACAATTCATCATTTTATCTTTGCGGTCACAAAGAGAGGCCTCTTTGTTGAAATTCATGGGTGGCACTAATGCTTTATCAAAAGGATGAGGGAAAGACTGAGAGCAGCAGTGCTCTGGAGTGAGTTGAAGCTTTCCCTCCCCAAAAAGAAAATCAGTCATTTATGCTAATGTTGCCAGCAGATCAAGTTCCTAATTAGGTCCAAATGAACAATTAGCTGATTGGGATGAAGCTGGAAAAAAGAGCTATCAATCAGAAGATGAGAGCAGTGGGAAGAGAGATGGAGGGAGGACTGAGGCGAGATACGGGAAAACCAGATGAAGAAATTCCTTTGTAGCCAGTCGATCCAGCCCGAGACACAGAAAGGATTTCTAGGAAATGTGTGAGAAACTAAATAGCTGTGTGTCCTGCGCTTGCACACATGGGTGTGTTTACATTTTTATGTTTGAGTGTGCATGCTTGAGTGTGTGTCTGTCCACAAAGACCTGGTCTGCCCATTATGCAACTGGAGTAAGTGCAACTGGACCATTACAGTCCATTTAGGTTTCAAACAGTGAGACAGCACTTGGCACTTAATTTAGTCACACAAGCGTGTAAGAGCATCCAGCTCACGCTCCCAAAGCACTGCCAAGTTTCAAAGTGCTCTCTGACTTGCGGTGCTGCTGGGAACACGGTCTTGTTTGTAGGGAGACTTGATGATGCGATTTCTCCATTAGCAGTTTAGCGACAGAGCAAGTAAACATGCGGTATGTGCCTCTAATATGGATCTCGTCCGCCCAGCATTCAAATATGACTAAACTGTCTCCCGTTACACAAATATGAGAAATACAGGGATTATACTTACTACTTCTGAATAATAATTTCCACATGTGACTGTAACCAGAACTCAGTTGTGCATATAGATTGTACAGAAGAATTCACTGGCTAAGTGTTGTGGGCACAAACAGTCTTCAAATGCATTAAAAAGTTCAA